TTTAGTATGGGTTAGATACAGTTCCAAACTAGTACCTGAAAATCCCATCCGCAAATAAGCATGTAAGCTTCAGAGTTGGAAGTAATCTAAACATAGCCATCTCAAAACATTAAAACTGATACATGCACGCAGGGACAAAACAGGTACAAGCAATACAAACATGCAACATGAGCAGAAATCTCTAGATGGATAAGAACAGAGCATCAAGAACATTCATCAAATTCATACCAAAAATGCCGGATCAGGGGGCGGAGCACGGGGTGGCCTGCATGCTACTCTTTTTTGAGTGACCGGAAGCTAAGCAATAAGTTGGACTGAGGAGCTGCAGATCTTCTAGTTGACTAGCCCCAACAACCACATTGGCAGCAGCATGAACGTTGCCAACTGAACGGGCTCTGGTGGTGGTGGTGAATGGCCTGGTGACTGAGCTTGAACGGACTATGAGCTGAGGCGGCAGAGGGCGATGCTGAAGTGGCAGTAGCAACATGCGGTGGATTGGGGAGGCGTGGAGGAACGCGGCCGATAGTGACGCGCGGCGGCCGGCAGTATTGTAGGCCACGACGGCCGTGATGGAGGGTGGTCTCCAAGGCTGGCTGCGTGCAGGGCTGCAGGGAGGCAGCTGGGTGGAGGATGGCGCCACCGGTGGCCACTCGCTGAGCTCGACACCAGCAACAGGAGAGCAACACTCAGCCGGGATGGCACGTGGTTTGGGGTTAGCGCACGGAGGCGGGAGGCGGGGACCGCGCGCGGCGGCCGTGGAAGGCCAGGATTGCGCTCGGCGGCCGTGGGAGGCAGGGACGGCGCGCGGCGGCCGTCGGAGGCAGGGACGGCGCGCGGCGGCTGTAGGAGGCAGAAATGGTGGCGGCGGCCGGGGGAGGCAAGGACGGCGCGCTGTGACCGGGGCGGCGGTGCGGTGGGGTGCCCGGTGGCAGGGGCGGCGACACGGTGGGGGGCGGTGGCCGGGGCGGCGGCGCTGGTAAGGCCGGGTGGTCGGGGCGGCCACTCCCCTCGCTGCCGAAGAAGGAGTTGGGAGAAGTGGTGGGCCGTGGGGAGGTTGTCGGGCCCTATAGGAGACCGATGGTAACAGAATAATATTCTGTTACTAGTAACAGAATAGCTCTGTCCTATATATATATATATATATATAAGGTAATGCAAAAATAGACAAAAGCTATGCATTGTTTATTAAAAAGGGGCTGCGGTCAAAGCAGAACGATACAAATAATGTGATAAGTGGAAGGTTGGACTATTTAACATGTCCGTTCCAGGGGCAAGCTGCAGAATAGTATGCGAAACAGGTATACTGCTCATGATAGAGACCACCTGGGAGTTCTGTTATGCGGCGTGGCTTGTCTGCTTCCCTGGTTCTTGCATCGTTTGTGTGGCAATTGAACTGCCGAACAGGCCTTCCGAAGGATGGAGTCCTGAAAGTAAGAGAAAATTAAAAAATCGGCAGCCCCTGGTACGGTTTAAGCCGCGTTTCGGGCGTGCCATGATGGTGCCCCTCCCCCTGTACCCATGGTATCTCTAGAGCGTAGTTATGTACGCGAAGTACTGGCGTCGCCTTTTTGCGAGGGTTGGGGTTGGGGCCGCATTGCTACGCCTGCTCGGATCGTGCCAGGCGGTCTTGTTGTAGGTTACTCCAGGCACGCTTGACGGTGTCCGGTCGTTTAATGGCCGGACTGAAGAACTTTCTGGAGAGGCTGCTTTGTACTTCCGCTACAAGGGCCGCCGTGTGCTCCTCCGTTCGAAGGGAGCGTTCGGTGTTTCCATTGACCGTAATTACTCCTCGAGGGCCTGGCATCTTGAGCTTAAGGTATGCGTAGTGCGGTACCGCATTGAACTTGGCGAATGCGGTTCGTCCGAGCAGTGCGTGATAACCACTGTGGAACGAGACTATGTCGAAGATTAACTCCTCGCTTCAGAAATTATCCAGAGATCCAAAGACCACTTCAAGTGTGACTGATCCTATACAGTTGGCCTCTACACCTGGTATTACGCCTTTAAAGGTCATTTTGGTGGGCTTAATCCTCGAGGGATCTATGCCGCCGCTTAGGCTGTTTCTTGGAGGGGTCATCCTCCGTTGTTCCGTCGCCATCTCCTTCTTCTGGGGTGTCCACCATATATATGTCATATGACGAGGTGGCTTTCCAGGGCCTAGTAGGCGCTGGTTCTTCATTATCTCCTTCATCGGCGTCCATACCGTCGATGTTTTCGGAGTCGAAGTCGAGCATGTCGGTTAAATCATCGACAGTGGCTACAAAGTGGGTGGTGGGTGGGCTTTGAATTTCTTCATCGTTCGTACCCCAACCTTGCTGACCGTAGTCCGGCCAGGGCTCTCTTGATAAAGAGAGAGACTCTAGTGTCTTCAGAATATCGCCGAAAGGCGAGTGTTGAAAGATGTCCGCGGCAGTAAACTCCATGATCGGCGCCCAATCGGATTCGATCGGCGGGGGCGCGGAGGGTTCGGAGTCCGGAGAGGAGTCCGGCTCCTTGGAGTCATGAGTCTCCCGGAGTGCAGGGCTGGTGTTCGGCTCAATCACCGTTGCGATCGCAGCCCCCGAGGCCGCGTCCAACCGCCCATCCTCGATCGGCGCAATTGGCCCCGAATTAAGGGTCGAAGACGATGCGGATGCGGCCTCCAGGACACTGTTCGGCGGTAGAGCTAGATCATGCTCGTCGGGACAATGTGGCGCGCTCGGCAGTGGCTCGAATCTGTTGAAGATCAGGTCCCCGTGGATGTCAGCCGTGTAGTTTAAACTTCCAAATCTGACCTGACGGCCAGGGGCGTAGCTTTCTATCTGCTCCAAATGGCCAAGTGAATTGGCCCGCAGTGCGAAGCTGCCGAAGACAAAGATCTGTCCGGGGAGGAAGGTCTCACCCTGGACTGCATCGCTATTGACGATCGTAGGAGCCATCGAGCCTGACGGCGACGACACAGAGGAAGTCTCAATGAAAGCACCAATGTCGGTGTCAAAACCGACGGATCTCGGGTAGGGGGTCCCGAACTATGCGTCTAGGCCGGATGGTAACAGGAGGCAAGGGACACGAAGTTTTACCCAGGTTCGGGCCCTCTCGATGGAGGTAAAACCCTACGTCCTGCTTGATTAATATTGATGATATGGGTAGTACAAGAGTAGATCTACCACGAGATCGAAGAGGCTAAACCCTAGAAGCTACCCTATGGTATGATTGTTGTTGTCTATGTTGTCCTACGGACTAAAACCCTCCGGTTTATATAGACACCGGAGAGGGTTAGGATTACACAAGTCGGTTACAATGGTAGGAGATCTGTATATCCGTATCGCCAAGCTTGCCTTCCACACCAAGGAAAGTCCCTTCCGGAACGGGACGAAGTCTTCAATCTTGTATCTTCATAGTCCAGGAGTCCGGCTGAAGGTATAGTACGGCCATATGGACACCCCCTAATCCAGGACTCCCTCAATGATCTCATCGGATGAACCACGATGTCGAGGATTCAATCAATCCGTATACAATTCCCTTTGTCAATCGGTACGTTACTTGCCCGAGACTCGATCGTTGGTATCCCAATACCTCGTTCAATCTCGTTACCGGCAAGTCACTTTACTCGTGCCGTAATGCATGATCCCGTGATCAACCACTTGGTCACATTGAGCTCATTATGATGATGCATTACCGAGTGGGCCCAGAGATACCTCTCCATCATACGGAGTGACAAATCCCTGTCTCGATTCGTGCCAACCCAACAGATACTTCGGAGATACCTGTAATGTACCTTTATAGTCACACAGTTACGTTGTGACGTTTGGCACACCCAAGGCACTCCTACGGTATCCGGGAGTTGCACAATCTCATGGTCTAAGGAAATGATACTTGACATTCGGAAAAGCTACAGCAAATGAACTACACGATCTTTGAGCTATGCTTAGGATTGGGTCTTGTCCATCACATCATTCTCCTAATGATGTGATCCCGTTATCAATGACATCCAATGTCCATAGTCAGGAAACCATGACTATCTTTTGATCAACGAGCTAGTCAATTAGAGGCTCACTAGGGATGTGTTGTGGTCTATGTATTCACACATGTATTACGATTTCCGGATAACACAATTATAGCATGAACAATAGACAATTATCATGAACAAAGAAATATAATAATAACCATTTTATTATTGCCTTTAGGGAATATTTTCGACAGGATCCTGCTCTTCTGTATGATGATTGCTATGTATTGATGTATTCATGTTGTAGCTTGTGGCGAGTGTAAGACTTTATCTTGTATTCTCATCTATTCAGTACATGGTATGTTGTGATGATATCCACCTTGCTATGCGCTCGAAATGCGGTTGTGCCCCAATCATGAGTTAATCACGTGATTGAGATAGAATCACATCTTAGGCGCTACAAACAGAAAAGCCACTTTCCACTAAACGGATGCAAGGACCACATCCAATACACCCTGGATTGGGTTGAGCTCTCTATTAGTCCAAGTAACCTAGCCCCGACGTGAACGATCTCACGAAGAGCCATCTCCGCAATGTAGTCAATGAAAAGACGCATGCGCCGAAGGTCCACAACATTTGAGTTTTTGTCCATGCTCTACCAAGTTAGATTGAAGTCCCCCGTCACTACCACCGGGATAGGACTTCGATCAACCTCGGCCTTCCGCTCAGATAGAAAAACTGAAGACTACCCGTGGTCAGCCGGGCAATTATCACCTCCCAACTGAGGTTCAAACATCTGTCGGCCAGAGACATGCTAAGATAGAACTTCCTGCGATCCATATCCTTAGCTAAGAAAATGACCTCCTTGACACCCAGCAGAATGGCCCCCGAGTGTGAATATCGAATTCGATAATTAATGGTCCTTTTTTTTTGCAAATCAAGGGATTCTCAAAATTAGGGATGACCTTCACTTTATCTTACATACACTAAGATCGCTCGGTTTGTTTTGTTTGTACTACTCTCTTCGTCTCAAAATAAGTGTCTAGCATAGCACAGTTAATAGGAAGTACTGTCAAGTGGCTATGATGTCCAGCAAAGAAGTATAGGTGCCAGTGATGGCAACGAACGCCCCTAGCAGCAGGATGGCGACGATTGCCGCGACCTCGACCCGGCGTAGGCCTTTGGCTCTGTAGATCTTGAGGTAGCAGAGGCAGGGGAAGAAGACTGTGGCCATGACGCTGAGGAAGGAACCGATGAAGGACATGAGGAACCCGAAGAAGGGCACAATGGACGCCACCACGACCGTGCTCACGAGAACGGTGGTGCTGACGGCCACCCTCGCCGACCCACTCCCCGCAAGCGAGAACCTCTCCTCGATCGCCGACGTGATGGGCGCGACGAGCAGCGCGTACTTGGTCAGCGGGTTGATGAGAGTCATGACGATGGCGATCTTGGTGTAGAGCCTCCCTGATGGCAGGTTGAGCGTCACCTGCGACCGCACGTCGTCGCCGTATATGAGGTAGCCCAGCACCGCCGTGAGTCCGTAGTTGAGACTGCAGAGCGCCGAGGAGAAGAGCAGCACTTGGGAGAAGCGCTCGCGGTTCTTCATGGACGAGTATATCGTTGGAAAGACGGCATGGCCGGCGAAGCAGACGAAGTAGAGGCCGAGGGAGGTGGGCAGGCCGGCGAGGTTGAGGACGTTGCCGCTCCCGCGGAAACCGGATTCGGAGACGCCGGCCCAGACGAGCGACACCGTCAAGGCCGCCGACGCGACGAGCCCGAGCGCCGACACGTAGGCGAGCACGCCGAGGTTCTTGAGCCAGGTGGTGGGCAGCACGACGGCGCCGGCCAGGACGATGTACAACTGCTTCCCGCGCAGCCGGTAGCCAGCGAGCAGCTCCACGCCGGCGCCGGGGAAGAGCTTATCGAGGTTGTCGCCCTCAAGGACCAGGAAGCTGACGGCGACGAGGTAGAGCTCCACGTACATGAACAGGGCGACGGTTCTCCGGCCGGCGGCGCCGAATGCCAGCTGGCCGACGTCCGGGTAGGTGGCCACGGAGCCGTCGGCGCGCATGCAGCGCGCTATGAGCGTGCCGGTGTAGTAGCAGACGGCGCCGACGAGGGCGAAGAGCGCCAGGCTGAGCCACCCGCCCCGCGACACCGCGTAGGGCATGGCGAGCACCCCGACGCCCGAGACGGCGTTGGTGAGGTTCAGGCACGCCCTGGAGAAGGAGGCGCCGGCGCTGCGATACGGAGGGAGCTGCGCCTCGGTGTCGCGGTCAACAACCCGCTTCCCGGTGGCCGTGAGAAGAGGCTCGCCGAGGGGGCTCGCCGTCGCACCGAGGCCGCTCGTCTCGTGGTCTTCCATCTTTGAACGGCCAGAAGATAGATGATTGACGCGGCTGATCGTTCGGACGATTTATATAGTGCCGCGCCTTGCCTAGCTGCGCGCGGGGCTGTTTATAGTGCGGCGCCCCTGCCGGCCGGTCTGTCGTCAGTTTGCCAACGATGACTCCAAGACGGCTCGCCCAAGAGATGATCGGTATTTTTTTTTTGAGAGAGATGATCGGTATTTTGACACGTGAAACACCGTCTATAGAAGAGTTTATCACCTTTTTCTTTTACAACCCTAAAAAAACATTTTTCTTTTACAGCAAAGAGTTTATCACCTTTGCTCCACTCATGTCTGGTGGCAGTTTGCCAACGCATGCAACGATGACTCCAACATCGGTCAGTCAAGAGGTTTTGACACGTGAAACACCATCTATAATGAGTTTTTCACCCTTGCCAATTGCTCGCCCCCCTCAACAATTTGTGTAGGTACTCCTTCCATCCGAAATTACTTGTCGCGGAATGAATAAAAATGAATATATTTAGAACTAAAATACATCTAGATACATTCATTCCTGTGACAAATAATTCCAGATGAAGGAAGTAGTATTTACTGTATATGCCTAATGACCGGAACTAATTGCATAATTAGCCCAGCCCATATGTTAGCCATTACTCGAAACGTCACCGAAGTAGAGAAGCCCATATAACCCAGTAACCCATGTACCGTGCTTGTGGCTGGCTATTAATTATTGAAACAAGTATATTTTTCACTCCCAAATCCCCTCCAACAGAGCCATAACACCCTCAACTCGAACTTGGTATGATTTCAACCCTAAACATCTCAAAACCGGATTGATCAAGCCCTGAGTGGTTTCATGCCACATCAAAAGTAGTTTTGCGTTGCATGATGGTGATTAGGCGTTGATTTTTCAATGACATTGCGCTGAGGTGGCAGTAACTCAGAAATAACTCCGTACCTCTTCCTAGACGACATCCTCACATTCGCTCTCCTACTTGTATCGCTAGCTCTAGTGTACATTGCCATCACTGCTTCCTCCGGTGTCCCGATTGCCACCCTAGGCAGTGATATGAAGGCGAGCTGGACCAGTACCCTAGCAAGGTGATGCCGTACATCCTTCTTGTCGTGCGACATGTTCAACAAGTCGTTGCGGCAGTCCACCTCGCGCATGGCACCGGCACTGTCGTGAACTACTACATGCAAGTAGATGCCTGGATTGTGTCTAGCGGCATGCATGGTCTGTACGGCATGTGGCTGCAGGTCGCGGATGGCAGTGTGGTTCAGTTCGTAGGGACGACTCACGTCGGGAAGTCATGATCAAGGGTGTCCGTGCCCACGGTGTTGATCCAAGCTATCGCGTAGGAGAGTATCGAGCTCCCAGGCCCGACGTTCCGGGCAGAGCATGACACCAGGACGTTATGCTCCACCAAACAGAACACGTTGATGGCGACGTTGTTCCGCGTGTAGTCGACGGAGCCACCGCCAAGCGAGAGAGCTCACGCCGCAGCCGCATTGGTGTCCATGACGGCGAGGAAGTCCGAGTCTCTAATATGAATCTGCCACCGAGCCAACAGACCTTGTCCGTACCATCCACGTGCTCTTCCACCATGACGACACCTCGCCGAGGCCCGTGTCGTCGCAGCTTTGGCTCTCAGCTCACAGCTCAGGCACCGGTGTGGAACACCCCCGACAAGGCGACGACAACGTCTCCCGCCGTGCCGAACTGTGGGAACAAGCCCTCGCTGCCGTATTTTGACACGTGAAACACCGTCTATAGAAGAGTTCATCACCTTTTTCTTTTACAACCCTAAAAAACATTTTTCTTTTACAGCAAAGAGTTTATCACCTTTGCTCCACTCATGTCTGTTGGCAGTTTGCCAACGCAGGCAACGCTGACTCCAACATCGGTCAGTCAAGAGGTTTTGACAAGTGAAACACCATCTATAATGGGTTTTTCGAGAAAAGCATTCCCGTGCATGGCTCAACCGTCGGCTTGGTTTGAGATTAGGATGCATGCAAGCTTGCTAGTACTCCCTCCATTCCATTTTATAGTGCGCATAGATTTTTTGCTCACATTCCGAAATGTAGTGCGTGCATGCTGGTTTGGACAAGTTACCCCTTGCATGAAAACCAGGGACACACAGCAGTGCTTGCACATGGGTGTGGGCAGAACGTGCATGCAGGGTCATTTTGATACAAAGTACAGCTCCAGCTCATTGCATTGGTATAAGAGCTAACAACTATGCGCACTATAAATTGAAACAGAGGTAGCATTTGCTATTCTCAGAGTAATTAATCCTATATTCTGACAATCCATCAATCAACTTTATATCTTCTCTCTCCTCATTTTTCTCTCACGCCACACGCACACAGAGTTGGCTCTCCTACTCACATGCATTTATTTTTCAATCTTAAACTTGGAACAACTATATATGTTCAAATAAATTACAGGAAAATATTCTGTTTGAACATGTGTTTTTCTTTTGATTTTATCTTCAAAACAAGCTAAATATCAGATATGTGTTGACAAAGTTCAATTTTCATATTCAAACTAAACCCATGACAAAAATCATGAAACTGAGGGAGTATAATTTTGTGATAAAAAATATGAAACATTTAATTTTTAATAAAACTCAACTAGATAAAACTGATTAGGAAATATCACGTTACCACATGCTAGGTGAGAGAACACACTGTGTGGTGTCAGGGGTACAATATTTAATCACCTTACATATTGTGATGGCACATATCCCAACGAAACAAGGGTGTAGTGGATGCATGCACGGGAGTTTTTCACCTTTGCTCCACTCATGTGGTCCGTGGACTTGAGACGGGACTTGTGTGGTGGAAGCCACGGTTAGTGGACTCAGAGTCAAGTTCACCCTCGTCGCGTCGCGCGATAGCCGCCACCTTCACGTACATGCTAGGACACGGTCCATATGCGTGTGGGCTGACGCTTGCCTCTTCGTGATAACCGTGCGTTTACAATCCAGGCAGTTGCATGACAACCGTGTAACTCCTCGCTACTATTAGGGAAAATCTTATATACAGAATCTTATCAGTAGCGCTGTCTGAAAGAACTCACTATTGCTAATTAGCAATAGCCGTTCTCGTCAAGAGCGCTACTGCTATTTGGATAGTAGCAGCGCGGTCAGGTGAAAAAGCGTCACTACTATAATTGCCACACAGTTACGTATCGGCATGCTAGATATAAGAGTAGCGCCCTTGACAAACCGCGCTGCTGCTGACAAAGTGGTAGTAGCGTATTTTTGGATTAAGGTGCTACTGCTAAGTTTGAACTGGCCATATAACAGGCCCAGCATAGCAGCACTGCGGTTTAATAGTAGGCACTACTGCTATGACCAATAGTAGTTGCGCTTTTCCCTAACCCGCGCTACTACTAAACAAAACTTATCGTCTTCCTCCGCGTGGCCGACCCTCACTCTCCCTCTCCACTCTCTCACCCTCCCCACGCCACGATGCCGTCGTCTGCCGCCACCGGAAGAGATTGCCGTCGCCCTCCTCCTTCACTGAGGTATCTCTCCCCTCCCTCTCCCTCCGTCCCTCCTGCCTCCTCCCTCTCCGGCCTACCTCGT